TATGTTGTCCTGTACAATGGTTGTGTTGATAATGTTGGTGTGTGGCCACAGTACTGTTTGTTTTGTTTTTGTCCTGTTCATATCATGGAGTGTGTCATGACAATGAATTTTACAAGGTGTGTAATTGATAATATGAGAACTTTACAAAGACACTTGTCTGACTGACTTCCAACTTTAAGCTTATTTATTTTTTTATTTTTGTCATGATTTTGGGTCTACATTTACATGGACAGTTGATTGTGTTTTAGTTAAAGGTTGAGTTTGTGTTAAATCTGTTATTCTGTGACTCAGTTAAAGCTGGGAGGTCTTTTTGGGGGGTTTTCTTTATCAGCTGAGTGGGTCTTGATGGTTGTATGAATAGGTTTTTATTATACTGATTCTGACCTAAAACTTTAGTGTTTTTTTCTTTCAGCTGTTCAAATCCTTATGATTTTAATTTTTCATATATTTGGATAAACTATTTACAGTAGGAGAACATCTTGTTCGGATTAGACGTTTGTCCAATCCTATCTGTTTTTTGCACTTCGTGTGGTTCACCTTGGCCCAAATGATTTTCTTACAACTGATTTCAAGAAACTTTTTTTTATTTTCTGGACTTGGATCAGCCATTTGGAAATTGAAGTTTTGGTCATTATATTATTTTGGTTGTTGTTTTTCCCTTTCAGACATTAAGAAGAACCGTTTTGTTGTTCATTTGTTTTGTTTTTTTGTTTGTTTGTTTTTTCTTTTTAGACATTTAGTGCTGCCTTATAAGATGATTGTGAATGTATCCTTTGTTTTCTTTGTAAAGTTCTCAGAAAATAATTTGACTCTCTCTCTCTCTGGAAGGTTATTTATTTTCATTTTTATTTCTTTATTTATTTTTGATGATTATTGTTTAAGTGGTTCAAAATCAGTCTGTCCAAGTCCCCAACCATTGACTGATAAATTTATTGGGACAATAAATACATAAAGCTTAAAAACTAATCCTGATGGCTAACTAAGATGTTGTCCTGATGATATCATTCATATCTGCAGATTACCTCCCACTTGTTGTTTGTACTAAAAATAATAGTTGCTGCAGTGTTTATTTTTATTTTTATTTTATTGTATTTTATTTTGTTTCATTTTATTTTAATTAATTTCTTTGTTGTTGTTGTTTTATGGTTCAACAAATTCTGGCATAAAATCCCCGGTCTAAATAACAGAGTCTCCTGTAAAGCGTCTTATTTTTTATTCCTTTTATCTTGTGTTTTTTTTTTTTTTTTCAGTTCAGAAGGAAATGTTCAGTGTGACAAAGAAGTGGTTAATGTTAGTGACTGGGAAAGTAATTTGAGACTTAAAAAACTTTTAATTTGAAGTTTGTTTACTGTTTTTGTTTTTCATAATTTTCCTGTTTTGCCTTTATTCCATTTTCCTATTTAAGGTGCAGGTTAATTATTGAAATGTGGAGAGATAAGGTATGTTCTAAACAAGCATATTTTCAGAAGAGCCCATCTAAAGCTGTTTGCTTTCTTTTTTTTCTCTTTTGTTTGTGTTATTTTTGTTATTTTTAATTAAAGGCCTTATGTTCCCAAGGAATGGGTCAATCCAGGATTCCTAAAAGGTCAGCACCTCTGAATTTTTCTCTCACTTGCCAACGAAATCGAACCCATTGCACTCCATGCACAGCACAACTTCAAAACACTGGTGACCTGACAGACTTATGAGCACGCAGGTTGGTGCAGTGAAAGCTGCAGAGCTGTGGCTTGTTGACAACATGTGCAAAAGCCTGAAAAGAGGAGAGAGGGTCTCTGTTCTGTCCTGGTCTGTCCTGAAGTCTGGGAATCACTAACCTGTTGCAGAGTTGTGAGAGCTGTCTGCTCTTCACCTGCTGAGAATAAATTCAGGTTTTCAGTTGTCCAGTCTCTCGTGGGGGCGTGGCCGACTGGACCACTGGGTGCAGTGGGCAATGCTAGTTGCCATCAGAGCGAGACGAGATGCAGTGAGGAGGTAATCGCTGACCCGATCGGATTAGTGGGAAACTATGGGACGTCAAGACATCATTTCGTAAAGTGAGTTGTTTTTCACCATAACAACATATTATTGATTAGAACTACATTGCTGGACTGTTTATAAGAGGAAGGAAAAGGAAATGATTTTATTTTTCACCTAGATGGCAGTAATATTGGGAAACTAACTGGATCGGCCTGGTGAATACTCATTACAAGCTTTTCATGTTTAAGATCCAAAACCATAACTGATCTATGAGGTATTCACTTCAGAAGATTTTATTCTTTATTTAATTTTCTGTTTTTAGGTTTGTCTGCTACAGAACAACCTCCTTGCCCTGCATGTGATGTTGGTGTCGTGCCCTCTGGTCAGCTGGTCATTGTGACCAGGCAAAGCCCTGCATCTGGTCCTGCCAGCATCAAAGACAGACTCAAATCTGGCAGTGTTTCCTCTGCGCCAATCATGTTCCCTCAAATAAAAAAAAAGAGAGAGGGAAAGGTTAATTTGTGCTTTTGTTTTGACTTAATTTGAAAATAAATTTCAGTTTTAATTTATTTTTTAATCGGTTTGTTTTTAAGTTAATTTTCATCTGTTTGACTTGTTATCACTGCATGATTTATTCTTCATTCTTAACTGTTGGGTTTTTCAACTTTATTGTTGGGGTGGATTAAAAAAACTTTCCTGAATGAGGTGGAAAATATTGTGGGTTTATTTTCCTAAGTATGGCTTTAAGAGGTTTCTCTAAACAGTTTCTTAAAGTAATATCCTAACGACATCCTGATGTCATGTGTTTGTTTTGTTACCTTTTGTTTATTTAATTCTTATAGCATGTCATTTCTTTTGATTATTTTTATTTTTTTAAACATTTTATTTTCAATTTTTGCTTCAAGTCACCTTTATTTTCCTGGTCGATTGCTTATTTAATAGTTCAGCTTATAACTTACTTAGACCAATAATTGGTTCAAATTTTTGAAATGACATAATTATTTTTCCAAATTTATTTTAGTGATCAATGTTTGATCAAAAGGAAGGACTTGTCATGGAAAACTAAATTATCATTCAAAGTCCTACATTTCTTCTCAGGCCAAGAGTCAGTGACCTCGTTTGCTTAAAATGTCATTATGTTTTATGATTTTACTCTTTATCTTCTGTTTTCTCTCGGACAAAGTGTTTTAAGATCAAGACAATATCTGTTTAGATGTAATCATTCTTGTTGCTGTTTATCAAACATCATTCTCTCCTTTGCCCAGTTTTGTCTGTTTGGATAATATACTGTATAAATGCGTGTATTTGAAACTGCCTCATTTACACACATTTTTTACCACTGCTCTGTGTGACATGATGTGTGTCTTGCAATTGTAATAAATCCTGATTGACCATTTCACAGAGTACTTTTTATTCTTGGATCTTGTGTTTCTGTCTAGGTAAAACAAAGATTTCCACAACAGACATGAAGACAAAAAGTTTGGAATAAATTATTGTTGATGACTATTGTAAGCATTAAAATCTAGTTTGTTCCATTTGAATTGATGTTTATTGTCTAAACTATTGTTCAGTTTTGGATTAGTGAACTTTTGTTTGCTTGTCACCACTTAGTTTAAGTCGAGTGAATACATCTTCAATTGTTCATTTTCTGTGCAACATTTTCAAATCGATAATAATAATAATAATAATACAATTCAATAAAGAGCTTAGATTTCCGTTTATGAGCAGTAGATCACGAAAAAGGACAAACAAGTAAACCATGTGAGCCGATGGCTGGTTTAGATTTACACCTCAGTCAGCAACCATATCTGTGTTTTTCCACCTGTGTCATAAAGGTTTAATCTCACACTTTATCAGTAAAAACAGAACAGAAAAAAACTTCAGCATTTAATGAAAGGGTTTGAGTTTGTATTTGTTTTAAAAATAATTGACAGTTTTTTTCTATCTAGGTTTTAAAAACTTAATGGTAAAAGTTAAATATTTTTTTATACTTTTTTACTGTTTTATTTTACCATATTAGTCTTAAAATTTACTGTATGTTTGGCTGTCTTGTAGCACTTTGAGATTTTTGTTAAGGAAAGGGAGCCTACATTACAAATTGCATCCAGTAGTAGTAGTAGTAGTATAACAAGGGTTAGACAATGAAACTGAAACACCTGGTTTTAGACCATAACATCCCTTTCAGACAGCTTCCTCTTGCGTCCACAGTTAATCCTGTTGGGTGTGGTTGGTCCTTCTTGGTGGTATGCTGACATTACCCTGGATACCGTGGCTCTTGATGCATCATAAAGACTTGCTGTCTTGGTCACAGATGCACCAGCAAGACGTGCACCAACAATTTGTCCTCTTTTGAACTCTGGTATGTCACCGATAATGTTGTGTGCATTGCAATATTTTGAGCAAAACTGTGCTCTTACCCTGCTAATTGAACCTTCACACTCTGCTCTTACTGGTGCAATGTGGAATTAATGAAGACTGGCCACCAGGATGGTCCAATTCAGCCATGAAACCTCCCACAGTAAAATGACAGGTGTTTCAATTTCATTGTCTAAGCCCTGTAGTAGCAGTAGCAGTAATATCTAGCATAATATCTCAGCTTTATAAACATGTTAAGATTTTGAGTTGCTTTATGTGAAATGCATGACTGAAATGTAGTATTAGTGTCCACAGATATACAGTTTTAATAACAATAAGTTGTGTAAAGTTGATGTAAAACATTTGGCTTCATAGCAAGTCATTTAAGTTTATGTGGGTTGGTCTCATCAAACACTGCTTGTCCTGTAACCTAACAAAGCAAAACCATAAGTTCCTATATCTCCATGGAAGTTTAGGAGGCAGACAAAGAGATGAAGAAAACAGGATCCGTGATGCTAACCTGAGTGAATGAAAGAGATAAAACATAAAGAAGGACAGAATCATCTTGGTCACCCAAGAAATTAAACACAAGACAACAAAGAGGAGAAAACCTTGATGAAAGATTGTATTCACAAATAATTAATGGCATAAAACTCACAAACTCAGGGATGAAGAAGATGTCGGGAAAGGTGGTGAAGACACTCCCGCCTTTTGGCAGAACATCACCTGAGGTGGTGGAAGCCATTGTCCAGAATTCCTCACGCAGGTGGGATTATCTCCAGAGTGAGCTGCAAAAACAGTTGGATTCTGTTTTAAAGGGCGTCTTTCTATTCTCCCTCAGCACCTCCCTGTTTCTCCTCCACTCCACCTTTCCATCCAGCCCCAAACGACCTGTTTGACAGGTGCGTTTGGTCTTTTATTTGAGCAATGGGAGGATGTTCTCTGGTGTTGGAGTGCTTCTTTGTGCAAGTTTTCATGTGTGTGCCCTCATGGGTTTGTGTACGTGTCACTAAAAGTGGCTATGAGTAGGTTTACATGCACACAAGAAAAGTGGTTTGCAAAGCAAGTAATGCCATTTGAATAGGCTCTGGCATCAGGGATTGCTGTTGTTTGGAACTTGTTTTATATATTTTGGGTACATTTTTTGATTTTGCATCAGGTTTATTTAGGTTTTTGTTGTACTTTAATATTTTTTGCATGGATTATAACATAACTGAGAGAGAGATGCACTGAAAATGAATAATTTATGTGAAACAAATGGTAAGAGGTCACAAATTTCACTGCTCACAACATTACAGATTGGCCCTGAACAGTTCTGTTTTGAATGGAGTGTATTTTGCCAGCAGGAGTAAAGTGCCAGCTACCAGAATCAACATAAACAAACAAGACTTATTTTCTGAAAAGCCTAAAAAATACAAACTTTGTCAAGGAAACATATTGATTGATTTATTATTTAGGGTGGGAGAAAGCTGTAATGTTATCAGGTAACTGTTGTCATTCTTGTCTAAAGCGCTAAATGATACAAAATCTGCTAAATGACTCATTTGCTTCTAATTTCAAAGTGGAAGCATCAGGTAGAAATGAACGTTCAAAGAGAAGACTTTATATAATTTTATACTTCAATTATATTTTTGAGACTCTGTGTAATTTGTTATCATCATTCCTAGGTATCAACATTACAATTTAGGATGAAATGTAGAAAATATATAACAGATTCATGTCCATACTTTTTCACAATGATTGGTCAATGTGCACCAACATGGAGTTTTGTTATTCACTTTCAGTTTGGACACTTTTAATTCAACCACATATTGTCAAAACACAATCTGAGTCACTGAGGAAAAACTGAATCTGCAGAGAAAAAACAATTATTCGAAAAAACAAAGTCTTAGTTCTTGTTAAACTTGTTTTGCAACTGAACTTGCAACTCAATCCCAGACTGCGAGCTCAAGTTTTATATTCACCTTTTGGACATTTTATGTTTGTTCTCTCTGAATTGCATTCTTGCTGCAGCAACATTTTTACAAGCATACCTCTGACAGTGAAACATTTACAGCAGAACTGCATGGTAAATGAGGCAAAGATGGTTTGTTAACATAAGTTGAACACTCGAATGAACAAAAGAATGGGACAAAAAAAAGATTAAGAGAGAGCTCTTGACTAAAACAAGAGAGTAAACAGTAATATGATGTAGGTAGGGGAGTGACTATGATTGTAACGCTGTAGTTTACAAAAAAATATCAGTCAGGATAAAAAACAAGTATTGAAACTTCATTTAAATAACTGATTAGTTTCACATGTCATTTTTCTAAATTTTATGGTTTCCAAGCTGGAGGAATAAGAACTAATTATGTACAAAACTGATTTTGTCTAAAATAACATCTTATTTTCATTATTATTTGTCCAGTCTGTGTCTATTAAAGGAGACATTCCAGGCTTTGAAGTGAACTCCCTTTTAATCTGTGCTCCCTTGATAGCATTGTCTCTTTCAAGTCACTCCTAAAAACTCACTTTTTCACTCAAGCGTTTAGCTAACCATTCACCATTACTGCCAGCCTACCTCCATTGTGAATGCTTACCAATCTGTGTTTTTCTACTATGAACATACGCCATATTTTTCTCTCTTGCATTCATTATGTTTTGTGTATTATTGTATATTTTGCCCTGCATTGACCTTGTGTTTGAGTTACAATTTTGGAACTTATTCTTGATTTAACGTTTCAATTTTCGTTGCTTATTTTTAATTATGTTTTCTGTTTCATTTTATCTTTTCACCATTTTTTAAACTGTTAATGATTGTACAGCTCCTTGTGAATATATTTCTGTGAAAGGTGCTTTATAAATAAAACTTTACTTACTTACAGTACATACAGCAGTAAATAGGTATTGAACACGTCACCATTTTTCTCAGTAAATATATTACTAGAGGTGCTAATGACATGAAATTTTCACCAGATGTCTGTAACAGCCCAAGTGATCCATACATACAAAGAAATCAAACCATAAATGTCCAGAAATGAAGTTATTTGTAATAATGTGGAATCCATATACATACATATATAC